TCACTCTTTTTCATGTTTTCACATCTATAATGACTTGTCAAAGTATACAGTGACTCAGTTACTCCACCCCAATATCAAACTTTAACTCTACTCACCCCTTTATTTTTATTTAATTGTATCTACTATATTATTTAACTTGTCTTTAAACTTCTTGTTATTATTTTTACAACCTATGTTTTTGCATATAGATATGTAATATTACTAATTTATTCTCCCATCATTTTTGCATACCACTCTTTCTTGAGTTTGGTGACACTTGGGTAGTACATGCCCTCACACTTTCTTGCAAATTCTTTAAAACTAATTTAATATAAAATTTTGTTTTCTGTTATTTTTTAGCATGTTAAATATATTATTTAATTATGGAAATTGAGGACATTAGACTAAGTGATGTAAGTGAGATAAAGACAAATACTGTTGATGTCACTTGTATGTTGAATTTAAAGAAACAAAAGTGGTAGAAACAGAGTAAGTTGTGGTTATCAGGGATTGGAGATGAGAAAAATCAAGAGATTTGATCATAGGGTACAAAATTCTAGGGATATAATGTAAAGATAGTGATTATAGTTAAGAATACTGTATTATAATACTTGACAGTTGCTAAGAGAGTAGATCTAAATGTTCTCGATACAAAAAGAGAAATAGTAGTTCAGTGACATGATACAGGTGTTAGCTAATACTAGGTGATAATAATTTTTAAAATATATTTTTATTGGTTTCAGAGAAGAAGGGTAAGGGAGAGAGAGATAGATACATCAATGATGAGAAAATCATCAGTCAGCTACCTCCTGCACACCCCCTACTGGGAATCGAGCTAGCAACCCAGGTATGTGCCCTAACTGGGAATTGAACCATGACCTCCTGGTTCATAGGATGGTTGATGCTCAACCACTGAACCACACAGGTCAGGAGGTGATAATCACTTTTAAATATATAGATATATTAAATTAACATGCTTCACACCTTAAATTAGCATGATGTTTTTCAATAAAACTGGGAAAAAATAAATTCAGATAGTAGATATTTTAAATGTTTCTCAATTTTAATTTCTATTATGACAAATCTTAATATATATAAACAAAAGTTATTTGGTGGTTTTTATTGTTAAAGGGATAAAAGATTCTTAAGACCAAAATTAGACTTACCTTATAGACTTACCTTATACTCTGCATTCCTTATAGAGAGGACATTATAAAGCTACAGCATAAACCTTTCATTCCAAATCCACTAATTAAACTTTATAATTTTATATGGGAATCAGGAAAAGAAAGTAAAGATCTTAAAGAATAATAGTTTCTATTAGAGGTTCATTAAAGTATTTGTATAGCCTTGATCACCTGTCCAGGCTTGCGAGTTAGTGAAAGAGGGGGGGGGGGGGTTAAATAGCTGGATTATTACTGGTAGCTCTTTAGTTGTACTTATGAAATGTGTTCATAATAAGTATTAAAGGAAGAGATTGAAGAAAATGGTTACTGAAGGTGCTCAAACAAAGCATGGGAACATATAATTTTATTTGTGCAGCAACCGATAAGATAAAATTAGGTGTGAAGAAAACTCCTTTCATAGTGTTGTGGTCAATCATTAAACATGAAATGAATTTCTGAACTCAGCCTGTTTGCATTCAAATGACGAGAGAATCAAATTTTAAATAAAGAAGAAATTATAAGGTAAGTAATACTGATGTGTGAGTATAAAATATGTTTTCGCATTTCTATGATCACATAAAAGCCTAAATAATTATAAAAAGTACTGATTTATAAATGAAGTAGGATTTTTAGCAATGTTTCCTTCAATATATCCTTTTTTTAAATTTAAGGGATAGTTTTTCTGGATAAGAACTGTGGAGAAAACAGGGTATAGCAAAAGTATAATTGTTGCTAATCTCTTCATTGTTGAGGATCTTGGTTTGAAAGACTTAAAAATGAAACTGAAATGATATTGTCAAGATCAGTATTTCGCTTCAATCTGCAACAATATGAACGCAAAGAAAGAAGAAGGTAAAATAGAAACTTTAGAAACACAGATAGATAACTACAGACATTTTAGCCCAAGTAGAGTATGCAGGTGAAGAAAAATAATTAGTGAGAGTGAGTACCAAACCCTGGAGAAACTGGTGGTGAGATTAATAAAGTCCTTATTATAGATCCATCACTTCAGATTTTCTCATCTTCCAGTTTATGAAACTAGCTTTCATTTTTAATGCATAGCCTCATTTCCTATGGTTCTAGCGTTTTCAAATATAATTTCAAATTCAGAAGACCTAAATGTGACACCAGGTGCCACAGTGAATCTATCATTTTAATAATATTTAAAGGACATTCATAAGCTCATTGATATTATAATCATTCTTTGTATATTTATGTGCTAGGTTTTACTCTAAATAAAAAAAATACCAGAAAATGTTGGCTAAATCTTTATCTTCAAAAGTTTATGTTCAGTAAGAGAGAACAAAATGACAAGTATCATTCAAAGAGCAGTGTGATAATAACTATGAGACATAAAGTCTCTATTTTATGCATTTAGTATAAAATATTGATAGAAAAGAATATTAGCTGTCAATGTGATCTTGGTAAATTAAAGATATGGAATCAAGCACAATCTGCCACAAAAAAAAAAAAAAAAATCTAGGAAAAAAAGACATGTTCCCCTAAATTCTATAACATGTAAAAACATAAAAAGTGAACTGCAAGCCAATAGATCTAACAAGATAACAGAACCTGGTGACAAAAATTAATAGCAGAGCCTAAAAGGAAAATAAAATAAACCTAAGATAATTCCAATATAACGGCTGTGGTCAAACAGTTGGAAGCAGACATTTAACAAATTGGAATTCTGGAGGTTCTTGTAGATTGCTAAGAGGGTATAATAAAATAGAAAATTTGATAGACACAACATTTACATTACTTTTGCTGGAATTTTGAGTTCATGTTGTACTTAATTTCCGGGTCTCTGAGAATTACCTTAATCCGGAAGACTCATGAATTTGATCATTTTATCTGACCTCTTAATTTCCTAAAGGAGATTTTTAAAAATAAAGTGTTACCAAGGTCAGGAGAGTACTAGAATTTCCCATCATTATTTGATGAGGCACAGCTTCAGCACGCCTGCCTATGATACCATCAGGTTGCTAGGAATTGTGGAGAATAATTCAGGAGGAGACACCTACAATACCCTTTTAATAACAAACATTTATTTAAAAAGACACTGCAGCCCAGGCCTGGTGGCTCAGTCGGTTGCAGTATCATTGTGTACACCAAGATGGCAGCACCCACAGCCACAAGATGACAGCACCCAATCCCCTCAGCTTTGCTGTGCACCTGCTCTGGAGTCTCCCAGTCCTCTCAGCCCCCACCTGCCCAGGGCCAGCCCCAGGTACAGGCAGGCCTCAGATGGTGGCTGCTCATCCACCCACGGCTGGCCCAAGGTACAGTCAAGACTCGGATGGCACCTGCCCAGCCATCCAAGGTTGCCCAAGGCTCATGTAACAAGGGCCAGCTGAGGCTTGCACTGCTGGCAGTAGCAGCAGCAGAGGTGTGATGAGGTCGCCTTCCCCTGATTGCCCAGTCACCTCTTGCCCCTGAAGGCTCCTGGACTCTGAAAGGGGACAGGCTGAGCTGAGGGACATCCTCCCTCCCCCCCCCCCCCGACTCCAGTGCATGAATTTTCATGCACCGGGCCTCTGGTTATATAAAATTGTTAGGCTTCCTCTTAAAACTTTTGCAGCTTTCTGTCACATCTATGTACATATAAAAGCCTAAGCAACTGTCCAACTATCCAACTGGTAGCTATGACATGCAATGACCACCAAGGGGCAGATGTCCCAACTTTAGCTGTGACATGCACTGACCACCAGAGGGCATGTGCTCAACGTAGAAGCTGCCAAGCTGTGGTGACTTGGCAGCTGTGGTTCTTGGGTGACACACACAGAACCAGAGAGGAGGGAGCCTGATTCTCTGGTGCATCACCCAAGAACCACCCTCTCATAATCTGGGACTCCTAAAAGGATGTCAGGGAGCTACTTTCAGCCTGATCCCCACAGGCCAGGCCAAGGGAACCCAGGCTGAGGGCCTCTATTTAACATAAAAAGTGGAGGGTAATTTAGTAAGTTACCATTGGCAATATGACTGTCATCAGACTGGAAATTTCTACTGGACAAAACTAGCACATTCTCTCCCCGAAGGCTGGCTGATATAGAAATTCAAATTAAATAAATTTCTTACACAACTCTACAGCAGGAAAAGAGGAATATTCTAATTTGAGTATTTAATGGCAATAGACTAAAATGATGAGAATCACTCACTATTGTGTTGGAGATTGTCTATCTCAAAATTTCTTAAGTTATATTGCAATGGGCTGATAAAAGTGATTTGCTCTGTAAAACGTAATGTGTAATTAATAAATTCTAGAAATGTGCTTCCTCACTGCAGGACTTCTCACAGCTTTTTATGTGCCAGTGTTTTTCTTGATGTCTCAGTGGGAAATCTCATAAACTCCGTTTCCAAAACAGATTTGGGGATGGGGAGGGGTATATCTATCTGCTATCTTCCTGTACTAGAGATCCATAAAGATCAGATTTAGACATCATAAAACTCAAAAGGCTCCAGACTCTTCTCCCAAGATGTGTGGACATCTCTTTTGAGATGTGTGGGCCTGTGTGGCGTGCCTAACAAGTACAATCAATCAGTGAACTTCAAACAAGTGAGAATAGAAGCAGAAATGAACTCCCTGGATTGTTAACTGTGGCAGGGTTATGTAAGAGCTACCAAGGACATGAGACTGGAACAGACATAGAGGAAAGAAAACTTGGAACGGGAAAAAAAAGAAAACCAAGTTCTGATGAATAGCATTGGAATCGGAGGTCAAGCAGTGTCTGAAGTCAACTATACCTCTTAATTTTTTTCCAATCAACACAAGAGAAGTTTTATTGAGACTCATGGCCACAGGGTTCAGAGTTCAGATAGAAGGCTTCCCTGTAGACCCAAGGAGGTAGTAAAGGGGCCTTATTTGACCTCCTTTTTAGGACACAGGTTGTTGGTATGGTCACAAGTCTTCTTATGGCAGTTGACAGTACGTGGATGCAGGTGGGAGGGACACTTGTGACAGATCATCTTATGACAGTTGTACTTCTGGGAAAGCTGGTGGAGGGAGGGTCTGACGATACCACCCCTCAGATGAAGCACCAAGTGCAGGGTGGACACTTTCTGAAAGTTGTAGTCTGTGAGAGTGCAGCCGTTCTCTAGCTGTTCAGGTAGGATGCCCTCCTTGTCTTGGATTTCAGCTTTGACATTCTCAGTGATGTTATTGGGCTCAACCTCAAGGTTGATGGTCTTGCCAGTCAGGTCTTTCTCTCTCTTTCCTCTTCCCCCTCTAAAACCAACTTGCAACCTAACTAAGCTTTACTAACAAGGGCAAAATTAAAAGAGGTTCCTCAACTTTAGTCAATGGCTGGTATTTTGTGCATATTAATAACGCTTAAAATTATCACATTCTTTATTCATGTAAGTCATATCCTATGTAATTAAAGGGTAATATGCAAATTGACCCATTCTCAGTGGAACAACTGAGAATGATTGGTAGCTATGACGTGCACTGACCACCAAGGGGAACACACTCAATGCAGGAGCTGCCCCCTGGTGGTCAGTGCACTCCTACAGGGGGACTTTCGCTCAGCCACAAGCACTAAGGATGTCCGACTGACTGTGGGGAGCGAGCTTAAGCTTTCAGTCAGACATCTTCAAGGGCTCCCAGGCTTCCAGAGGGATGTCTGACTGCCAGCTTAGGCCCGAACCCCTGGGGAGTGGGTCTAAGCCCAAAACTGGCAGGTGGACATCCCCTGAGGAGTTCTGGACTGTAAGAGGGCGCAAGCTGGGCTGAGGGACTGCCCCCCACCCCCATGTTCACAAATTTTTATGTACTGGGCCTCTAGTATTATATATAAAGACAACACCTTGGGAAATGTCTTGCTCTTGTCATCTAATTCATTGAGGTGATTTATTTTATCTTTGCTCTGACTCAATATGTAGTTGTTTTAAATTTACTAAGCAAGAGAATTTTGTTTATTTGCAAGTTTTCCTCATTTTCCCCCTCTGTACTACTGCATTTTAAGTATAGTAATAAATCCAATAAAATGGTTCTGACCAATTATTTTTATGTAAATCTTCCTGACTTGATGGGGTGCTTTTGGTTATTAGGACTGCAGCACACAGTATCTGTAAACTAAGCACACACAACAGTATCTGGCACCTAATAGACTCAGAGGCTGTTGGATTTTATCCTAGAAAATGTAATCAATCTGCTATTTTTCTATTGCTATGGGTATTGCTCTCTTTGGAAGGCACATGTGCTCAAAAATTTGGTCTGCCAGTCTCTGTCCCCCCGCCCTCCAAGAAAAGATGTTCCTACAGTGAGTGATGTTTTTAAGAAATAAATATGTTAAAATTGCTAATAACTGATATACTATTAAGTTGAGGAGACAGAGGTAAGCTAGATATACAGGGACTGGGACCAGGGGGGTGGGAATAAAACCAGGGGACCCAACTAAGTGGAGTTACTAAGGCACCCCAACTGGGCTTAAAAGGAAGGGCATATGAGAGAGTCATGATCTTTGAAATATATGAATGTTGCTAAAACAGATGATGTGCAGATTACCAGTCACAGGACAGTGAGGCATATAAACATTCCCAAGAATGTTATTAAGGCAGAATTCGTTGAAAACACCAATTACTGAAAATACGTACTTGAAGGTGGAAAACATAGAATGCCCTAGGCTTAAATCTGAACTCTAGTTGATTACAGGTTTAATTACAAATTAGAAAGAAAAAGGCCGATTATTTTATGTCTTATGGCAATAAAATGTATATTCATTCTTAGCCTTAGAACATATTAACTGGAACTGCTAAGGCTTAGCTTGTCCTTAATGGTTTTAACAATAGTGTTACATATTTCTATGCACTATTACCCCAAATGCCACGAATTATAGAAGCAGAACAACTTTGTCCTTTAATTTTAACAAGTAAAAAAAAAAAAAAAAAAGTAAACTTGACAGAATGTTATTCCTCATATAGCAGTCAAAAATATATATTTCATTTATCCTGCATTTGTCCCACATCTTTAACTCTAACCCCTGAAGGTGGTGAGGAATGTAATGTTTGCTTAATAGAGTCATATAGCTCATGAGGCATGATTCTTCTCAGTGCAAAACCATGATTCTACCAATCAAAATGAGCTGCTTTGTGCATTTAGAGAAGTATTTCATTTCCAGAAGGTGGTGCTCTAGAATAGCTGGAAACATGCTTGCTTCCATCTGAAACAAAGCAGACCTCCATTCATTAGCATCCAAGTTAAGAAATTCTAAAACCCAGAGTACTATTCAAGCCAAAAAAAAATGCCCTGCTTCCCTTTCTTTAATAGCATTAGAACTCAATCTTTTTCTGTGTCAGTAACCTATCGAAATAGCTTATTGTCTGGGAAAATTAGCAACACAATTGTTCAGAGATTGCAGAATTAAAACAAAATAGACAAAAGCATAAGGGGATTTGATAGAAAAGTAAGCCAGTTTTATATAACACTATATAGTTTTTGTTTTGACTTTTAATAAAGTTCATTTATAATTGTATTTAAATAACATTTGAAACCATACAATTGTATGATATGCAAAATCAGATAGCTATGGAAACTTGTATCTCCCTATGATTACTAAGAATATATCTGAAATTACAAAAACCTTGGCCTATAAAAAGCATATGGAGAAGCTGAAAAAAGAGTAGGAAATTAGAAGAGATATAAAAAAAAAATTCTTCAGTAGAGAAAGGACAATTTTGCCTAGTGAAAATGTATGTGGAATTAGAGAGGTAATAAAGTTTGACTCCAGTAAATTGATCCATTTTCTATGTAGAAACAGATGGGGAACTTTTGTGATTTTGCCTGAGATTATAAATATTTCCAGCACATTTTTATTTTTGTCAGCAATAAGAATTTACTCAATGTTCAAAAGTAAAACGTATTTAGAATACCAAAGTCCACTTAAACTGTAAACTAATAATTTTCTGAAAGAATTGAAAGTCTTAATCATAATCATTTATTATATCCTGAGAGCTACTTGTCTATTTGAGTATAGTTGTTACAATATACAAACCACTACTGCATCTCTAAAATAAATAACTGTAAAGTATGTGAAATTACAGGCTGACTTGAGATAAATAATGTAAAATATATTTTGTGCAGCACTTAGTATATCACAAATGCATCAATGAGTCTCACTCTTACTTTACTAAGGTACTACAGTTTTAAATAGTTGATGAGATCAAGAATAGAATTCTCGATTCAAACATTTAAATATTAGAGGCGTGCATCATGGGATTCCTCAGCCTGGCCTTCAGGATTGCGCTGAAACTGCTCTTCAACTTCCCCCAAGGGGTTCTGGATTACTAGAGAGCACAGGCCAGCCCATGGGAACCCACTGGTGCACAATTAGAGCTGGGGAGGGATGTGGAAGGTTGGCCAGCAGGGGAGGAACTGCAGGAGGGCTCCAGGACATGTCCAGCCCATCTTGCTCAATCCCAATTAGCTAGACCCCAGCAGCAAACTAACCTACAGGTTGGATCATCTGCCCCCTAGTGGTCAGTACATGTCATAGCAAGTGGTTGAGCAGCCTTAGGATATCATTAGCATATTACCTTTTGATTATTTGAACAGCCTATTGGTTGACTGGACACTTAGCATATTAGGCTTTTATTATATAGGATGCATGCTGTTGTATTATGTCTGTCTTTCTTGAAATATGAACCAAAAATGTTTGGATTATTCAAAATTACTTATCTGTTGTTTTGCTTAAATTACAGCTTCTCTGTAGTGTCAGTTCACAATGCATTATAGAAATATATACTGCACTCATTTGTAAGGATTTGGATGGATGCTTGCAATAAACCAGTAACTTATCTGAAAGGAGGAAGACTGAGGGGGACAAGATTACTTGTGACCCTTTGGCAATATTAATGTCTCTACTTATAACCCATCTCTAAATATAATATCCTATTCAAATATGTTAAATATGTGAATTACATTTATTTTTCTTTAAATTTGTCCTCAATTAGAGTTGTTTATAGAAAATGGATATAAAGAAAATTCAGTTGCAAAGCCATAAAATGCAATTCTTTCAAATATTAACATCTGAAATTAAGCAGACCAAATATTCAAATTTAAATAAATGTTTCCAGTTCTCAGACAAATGGAGACATTCATTACAGAATTTTTAAGCAGGGTATAACTATGTACAGGCCACAACTGCAGATAGAACTAACACAGTGTTCATTCCTAACTCTCAGTTTTGCTCAAAGACTGAAGTGAGGAGGGATCATTATATTTTAATCACTCTCAACATAATTATTCACTATGTGCATTCAATTAGAAGATAAAATGTAACATCTTAAATGTATTTTATATTTGCTATGTACCAGTACAGACTCCTTTGCCAAATATACATATATACAAACCACTAATGCATCTCTAAAATAAATAACTGTAAAAAATGTGAAAATATTACAGAGGGTACTTATTGGGAAAGTTCAAGAAAAAATGAGGAGCATCTATTCTCCCCTGGATTATATATATATTTTTAGAACTTCAAGCTCATCTTTACTTAAGTCAATGTTACCTACAATGTGTATGTTTGTAAAAAATTAGGATAATCATTATATTAAAAAGTGAAGATTGTAATTACTCTGAAATTAAATCGCTTGTGGAGAGACATATTTTTTCAAAGATTATTTTATTTGATCCTAAAATATCCATAAATGATTTTTGTGGAATACATTATTCTATCTTTAAAGAGAGGCTAATAAACTGAAATGGGATGTCAAAAAATGTAAGTAAAAATTAATTTGATATAGGACTATCAGTTCTGGCCACGATAGAGTAATTTTCATCAAATTTACAATTATGCTATGTGTAATTACAAAATTGGACAAAATTGGAAAACATAGAACTCTGGAGTGTGATTATTAACTGGAAGCAAATACATAAAAATGAGATCTACCTTGGATTATTCTGGCTTTTTGTTAGGGATCACTGTCTAATTTAAGAAGTGGAGTCCAAACACAGAACAGCAATTCCTTGAGTAAAAGAACTAAAGATTGAATTTCTAGACCACCAAGGAAACATCCGTGATGAGAGAGAATCATTGATCGGCTGCCTCCTGCTATTTTCAGGGAAGGAAGGCTACCAGAGAGAAGATGGCTGGACAGATAACTCTTCCAATCTGTCAGTGTCCTCTCCAGTCTTTGTTCAAATGTTAAGCTCTCCATGCATGGAGAGACACTTCAGACTGGCACATTGCTATATAATGCTACAAACCTATCAAAGGTTCAGGCATTGCAGTGCTAAACCACATTATCAAC